TATCTGAGGCACATAAGGAAAAATATCTTTTAATTCTTTACTTGGATACTATTAAATCTCAGGTTAAGCCATGCATCAAGCCACTGTGTATTCCTAACCATAATCAGAAAACTGGTTTCTTAGGTTCTTTATTCTGTCTCCACAGTTTCATGTGAAAGCAACCTCAGATTCCCCACCATGATTTATTTTACAAGCTCTTCTGTCAAAAACTACAGTTCTGCATGTTTCACCTCACGTAGTCTCCCTTATCCCACATGTATGCATATCCCTCCCTACCAAGTACCAGAACAGGCAGGACAAGCAAATTCTTTGTCATATTAGACTGAGAACAGACAGGCTCATCAGCTGGCAGGTCAAATAATATTACTTACTTGAGCTTTTCCTACCTACTTGTATTCTCAAAATCTTTCAGGAATTTAAACGCAACAAGGGCTCCATTCTGTCAGAGTTTGACTGAAACTGGCAAGTAGACAGAAATGTAATAAGGGAAGAACTGACTAAACCACAAGACATAAACCAAACTTGCCTGGGGAGCTTACAGACTCACAAGCTGCCTATCTTTTGCTTCTGAGTATGCACTGGGTGGCTTCATATCGCCTAAGCCCAGGATTTATAAACAAAGTAAAACAGAAATCAACACAAAAGCTGACTGATTGTTCAAACACAGCTCTGAGCTCCTACCCTTCCATGGTTGTGTAAAACTGAAATGAGCTTAAGGATAGAGGGAACAATGACAGAAATCTGACCACTTATTGAATCACTGAGGTACTTGCAGAGTTAACTGTTCAGCTATCCTAAACAGCATACTGATCCCATCTTAGCTGCCTTACCCATGCTTTTAAAGGAACCCCTAAATGTTTCCTGTTCTGCACTGAGAGCAAGAACTACACACCAGCAATATAAATAAAGTGCCAAGAAGAACACAAGATAATGTTGGCACTCTCAGGGGCATGAGGCCCATTACTGAAGTAATATGCTCAAAAAAGAGAAAAATCTTGAATTCAGATTGCTAAACTGTCAGAAGGAGAAAGCATAATTGATAAAAAACATTAATTATTTGTTTAGTGTGTGTTTTTTCCATTCTCTCATATCAACTATAGCCATTTCTTAAGAGAAATACAAAACTATGTGTTGTACTATTGCATGTAGATCTCCTCAGATTTAGAGGGTCTGCAATCATTTGTCCATTGCTCCTCTTCATTAGTTTAAAGTTCTAAAAATTATTTTCTTAGCTTTCAGTATTTGAAAAAAGTATTTTTCATTCATTGAATTTATAATTTTTCAAACAACAATAATGTTTGAATATTCACTGAAACTATCAATCTGGTTTAAGTACAATTGTTCTTGAGTTGAACCATCAGACAATTTCTTATGCAGAGATTCAACTTAGGTTTGTATTTGTTAATTACAAAAACTGTCAGGAAGTGAGAAGAGGTACAAAGTGAAGTTCTATTACTTATCACTTGATCTGCCCACATGTTTATAAACTCATAGACTAATTCTAGTTAATTACTTTTATTTCCTTGAAAAATACTTCCAAGTTTAAAATGCTATGTTGCTTGGGGAAGATCTTGCCAAGCCATATCAAGTTATGATAACATTATGAAATGCCCTACCTCCTTAATGCTCTCATTAGAGTTTGAATGCAAAAGATTGTAATTACATTTACATTCAAAAATATAATTTCCCATACTGCATGTAAAAGAACAAGATTTAAACTTTGATTTCATCTTTGGCAAGGATGAAGTGACCATTTAATATTCAAAAGTATTTATTTTTAGAATATTAGAATACATTTAAGTATCTACCAGACAAATGCATATGGATCTAAAGAATAACCAACATATAATACTTCACAGCAACTGTCAGGCTAATGGCTTATTCATGCAAAAGCCAACATAAACCATCTACTCTGCTAACAAGTATGAACTTGCTTGCAAACAATCTAACCATCAAAACCACTGATAAAAACCTCATCTTCCTATGAACTTCTCCTACATCTCCTCACCACATGCATGCTAATTGTAAAATTTTAACTAATTTGCTAATTCAGCCATATGACTATTTTTATTCTTCACAGTTCAGGTTAGTAAACCTCTATGGACTTGAGTCTTCTCTTACTCTACACCATGAATATACATCATATGACACAGCCAGGTGCTGTGAATATTTAATCTGTTTTAAGGCTATACTTCAGCCTCATTTTGACAAGTTCTGTTCTGAGATTGAGGCTGAGTAAGTCCCAGAATGGTGTGAACTTTTTTTTGGTAATAAATGACACTACTTCCACCCAAATCAACTCAAAACTGCTCTAGACAGATCATATCATCATTGTGCTTTAGTAAGTTCTTCTCAACAGAGTCAATACAATGTTTATTTGCTATCAGACAAAAGCATCAGCTAAGGCAGTGAGACAAGCCTATCCACACGCATTTTCAAAGAAATTAGGCCAGTACTCACTCCACCTTAAATTTCACTGTTTTACAAAAACATCCTGTACAATTTTGTGAACAGTCTTCCATTTACTCTGAAAATCTGATGGATGGTCTTGGAAGAATCCAAGTTACCACTCAACATTTTTTTTTAAGTATATCCAGTTGTTATGGAAGACATCAGGATTTTTAACATCAGTTGCACTTAGAACTGCCAGAAGAGGTAATTAATTGGCAAAGTATTCCTCAGAAAAGATTCAAATCAATAGTCAACTTTACAGAAATTTGTCCTCTGGAAAAATGCCAGCAAAGTCCCTAAGACATAATTAAAAACCAGCAGCTCTGCTCAATAATTAGTCATTCTACCTTGCAGTAAGATGGGAATAAAGGCATATTCCACAGTGATCAACCTTTTCAGTTCCTTCTCTTTGTAGTACATTTGGGCATTTGTTTCAAATCCCTTTCAACTCTCATGACCACTGTGGAAAGGGTGCAGGTCAAGTCTGCACAAATTCTGACAGAGGTTGGCTATTTTGGTAAGTGGAGCTACCACATCTTCAACTTCTGCAAAGAGTGAAAACACAAAGCCTGTTCACAAAGTAAATTCTGAGGAACCTTAGCAGTACTTACAATTTTTAAAGCTCAAGAAAGTGTTGATACCATCTGTAGTGGAAGCTACCAACAAGGATATGGATTGACTGAGGGAAACAATGTGACTGATCATGACATGAACAGGGAGAAAGACCATCTCTTTTTTGTATTTGTATCACATGAGTAAATTCTGAAGGAAACATTCCCAAAGCAGAGACATCTCACAGTCAAGAAAGCAGATTTTTTGCACTTTAGTAAAACCTAGTATTTCTAAATTAATTGGATTGCTTTTGTCACCCTTAGCACTTATTTTTCAGCAGTATTTTACATTATAGAGCGCTCAGATAAAGCTAGATTCTTGCATGTATTCATGCTTTCAACATCCTTTTCCTTTGTGCAAATGTCAAAGATACTCCCTTTGACAATTACTTTCACTTGGAACAGTCTTACTACTTTGTTGCTAAAAAAATGAAATAAAGTGAAACCCAGTCAGTATTATTGGAGTGATGAGATTTGATTGTGCATTTGGTGGGCCTTTATTCATATTAATTTCTACCAAAAGCAGTATTTTCTCTAACAGACTCTGTATCAATTTCCCTGTTTTTCCTATAATGATTAAAAGATGCAAAGGCTTCTCATGCACTTTGAAAAGATCAAAATTGAACTTTACTGTAATGCTGATAGTCTTCTATAAAGCATGCTTTGATAAGAGCACAAGGGTTGAAATCACCTAATACCAGTCCAAACTGGCATGCGAAGGCCACAAAAGCAAAGTCATTGCTGCTTATGCACACTTGCCAAAAGAAGCCCTTACATGATGTGTTATATAAGACATGATGAAATTTCAGGTGTAAGGAAGAGTATGTACCCTTGTGGGCTAAAATCACATTCATTGTAGCATAACTTACTGTTAGAACTGGGTAAATACAATACTTACCTATAACACTGGAATCATCTCTACTTGTTCAAAGAATCATGTACTTCCCTTTATCTTCCTCTTTCCAAGAAAAATTGAGGTAGCAGAAAAAAATCTAGAGACAGAAAAATACAAGTAAGAACCATCCACTAGAGGGGAGAAAAAAAAAAGAATAATCTCAAAAGCAGATTTCCTACTCTGTTCAGATAGAGCTTCTTTCAATCTGTTTTGTGATTCTTACACTTACTGATAGGAAGATGCTAAAAGTGTGTCACTGCACAACTGTCACCTCAGTTCCTTCCACAACTTCAAGTTACATACCCATCAACAAAGACTCACAAAAAAGAGGGGAAATTATTATGAAATGTGAATATGTAAACTCTCAAGAAACACTGAGTTTACTCAGTGTTTATAAAAAGTGTTATAAAAAAAAAGTGTTTATAAAAGAGTTATAAAAAACACTTTTTTAAAGACAGTACTTCTTGAAAAACAAAATAGCCTTAGTCCACTGTCACCCTTATCTTTGATTCCCTTCCCTGAAGGGAAAAGCAGTGAAGAACTGATCTGCCACATGAAGCACTTAAGCTGAACAATAGTGCCAAAGAATAACACTGACTGCATTGGTGAATAAAGCCAAGTACCACCACTAAACATGCTTCCCTAAATGCAGCAGCTCGATAAAAATTTACACTACTGTTATAGTGGTTCTCCACCCTTAACTATTTACAGGTCACTAAAAATTTGCTTACCAAAGTTAGACTCTGCTCAAAAAATCCAGCCTGCTGACACAATATGCATCTCCTTTTGGCTTGGCACCAAACAAATTACTATATGCACTGTGCAGTGAAAGAAAGTAGCCTTACATGATACCAGCATGCATAATGTGATACCTAATATGTAACCTCTCATGGTCTGACCTTTCTTACTGGCTTCCAGAACCTTGCAGGTCTCTGAAGGGTAATACCACCTCATTCTTGCACCTGCAGCACATAACCTCATCTCTCCCATATGAGTGTTTCTTAAGGCCACTCAGCCCAATAATACATGTGTCTATGGACAGCATGGCCTTGCTGGGAACTTTGAGTGAAAGATTCTGTTCTTGTGACAAAAAGCAAGCAGTGGATAGTCAGGTTTGTAACTTCTGCATTTTTCTACTAGGTAAGACTGCTGTAAGGAAAAGCAATTTAATTGCTATGGAAAGAGGAAAACGGCAAGAATTTTGTAAGGGAAATGTAAAATTATATTATAATTTCTTAAGAGCTGTAGGAACTTCCATTATTGGGTCATGCTATGTCTGATTAGGTAATCTATATTACCATATCAGGAAACATTGAATTATACCAACAAAACCAGATGACATACACATAAGCAAACAATAATCTTTTTAAAAGCATGGGTGATACAAAAGTCCAGGGAGTTGGAATAAGTCCACCAATACAAATTGTCATTGTTAGCGACAGCTTGCAATTACTGTTTGACCATAACAGTCTAATGGAAGATTTTCTTCATCTCCACTCAAATTCTTTTCTATTTGAAATTAGCAGTTATTGCATTTCTGTGAAACACAATGTGTTAGTCTACTGCCATGGTATAAACATGCTGTCCTTGGTAGTGGACCTGCCCATGCAGAGGACATTGACTGAGGGATAGATGGTTCAATGGCCGCTCCCCTCCCTGATGTTGACACAAGGCAGAAGAAAACACTATTTGACTCAGATTAGGGTTATTATTTACTATTATTATTTTGGTTTTATCCTGCTTTGTGCTCCCTATCATTGTTCAGCAAGGGAAAAACATAAAATGGGAATACAATCTGCCCTAGCAGGAAGGCACCTATGAAGTTCAAGAACAAGGTGCTTTTTTTTTTTGTTTGTTTTTAAATATTAATCCACCTATGCCCCTGGAAATTCCCAGGCAGAAAGACCTTTATGAGAAATGATCAGATTATTTCTGGCAAAGTTGATGAATTGCTCATGAAAATACATCATGCAATTTGCTTTTAAAAAGGATCCACCTATCCAGTACATAGTTTGTCTAGACAGAAAAGCTACACCACCATTACCATGAGTTCAAGTTTTTATTCCTGTTTATGCTTGTAGAAGACCTGAGCAATAACTTTTTCCTCAAAAGATGACTGTATTTGGAGTTTAGCTCACGTAATTTCATAATCGACTTTTAAGTAAAATAAAAGAACAAAGCCAAGCCTTCCCTTTTTACTGTTCTGACATTACTGCCCAAAAAGCCGACCAGGAGCCTGGGGCGGCTGGGCTTCAGCTGGGCTGCCCCGCTGCTCACGAAGCTCAACCAGTCCGAGCTCAAAGCCCTAACCCACAAAAACGCTTTAAGGAAAAACATAAACCAGCAATGTATATAATCAGCAGTTGTTTGGTGTTCAACACTTATACTTCTGTCTGTTCTCCGTGTAATAACGCCGCTCCCCATGTAGCGAGGTGGCAGTCAGTCACTGCTCCATTCCGTTCGACCGGTCTCAAATAAAAAAAAAATTGTTTTCCACTATTTCATCCTGTGATGGTGAAGGTTAAGACACCTGGGGTTAAGTCCCCGAGAGCTGTGTCAGTGCACTTCTACCAGTGCCCCGCTATGACCGCTTTGTACCGAGCCGGCCACGGCCGCTGCCCGTCTCGGCGGGACCGGACCCGCGCGGCGTCCCGCCCCGCCGCCCCCGCCCCGCCCCGCTCCGCTCGGGCGAGCGCCGGCACTGCCCCGCCGAGCGCCGCGGCTCCCGCCGGGCCCCGCTCAGCCCGGGCGCCTGGCACCGGGCACCGAGCACCGGCCGCAGCCCCTCTCCGCAGCCGGCCGGCAGGAGGGAGCCGGTGGCGGTGAGGGAGAACCCGCCCCCACCCCTCGCAGGCGCCGGCCCTCGCCCTCCTCCTCCTCCTCCTTCTCGCTTTCTCCTCCCCCTCCCGGCAGCCGCGGCCCCCTCCCCTCACTGCCGAGCCCCCACCGCCCTCCTCACCTCTCACGGTCCGGGAAGGGGGCGCGGCTGGGAGGGGGCGGAGAAAGAAAAAAAATGGCAAGGAAGGCCCCAGCACCCTCTCCCGTCCCCTCCCGCGCCCTCTCCTCCCGCCCCGCCCGGCGGCCGCCAGCCCTCCCGCTCCGCCGGGAGCCGCGGGCACTGGGCGCTCCCGCCCGCCGCTGTCGCGTCCCCGCGGCCCCGCTCCGGCCCCTCCCTGCGCTCGGGGGAGGGGCGGGGCCATGCAGGGACACGCCTCCTCCCGCGGGCCCCGCCCCCTGCCCCGGGGCGGGAGCGGCGCGTGGCCGCGTGTGGCGGGCCGGGGCCTGGGCCGCTCCCCTCACGCTGCGGAGCCGCCCGCGGCGCGCGTCCCCTGCCGGCGGGGCAGGGGAAGCGGCGAGGGAGGCGCTGTCCGCCTCATCCGGTGACTGGGCGTCCTTGTCTTTCTTCCAAAAACACAAAGCCAAACATTTCCGTAGCTGCCCGCTGCCCCATTTAAGAGAAATAAACGTGTTGTAATACACACCGCAGCCTTTCACATCCTCTCAGGACCCTGTACTCGATGCTGAGGCAGCCGCTCCTAACTGCCTCGTATGCAAACACAGCCTTTCCTGCCCTCGTCATGCAATGCCTTACCAGTGACCACTGCCATCCAGAGGTGGAATAATTTCCCAAATTAATAGACTGTGTGACAGCCAGATGCACCTCCAAATGCTCAAACTGATTTAAGGGCGCAGGAGGCCATTGCTGAGGCATGGCCATGCAGGAATGAGATCCACAGTGCTTGCTGGGCCTCGTTCTGCACAGAGATATGGCAGGATATACAGCCTGCCTGGCTGTGCGTGGCTGTGTGCTTCACCTGTCCGACAGGTCTCATCCTGGCTGGCATTAAATAACTGAGCCAGCTTTAACTAAACTTGACATTACGATGGGGGTTTCAAAGATGCTAGTTGTTCCAGCTGTGTAAAAATTACTAGCTAGGGGGAGGGAAGATTGTCCCCAAGAAAGAAAGCTCATGTTTTCCAGGTTGGTGTATGGCCAGGCCACACAAACACACACACACACACACACACAAACACACACACACACTTGATTCAGCCACTTCACACACACTCACACACACACACACACACACACAGAGTTGCCCAAAGGTAGCAGCGTCTAAAGCTTACGGTGATCCTGAGGGATGTGCAGACAGATCATACATGGGCACTCTGAACTCAGAAACAAAACAAAACTAAAATCTGCCATCAAAATAGCCCTAAAATAGATATGCCCCTTATATCAGTTTACTGCAGAGTTCTTGGAAGTCACCTTCTGTAGAATCTGATGCTCAGAGTATTCCACAGGTTAATACTGTATCAGCCTGAGCTTGGGTGGAATCCTATAGCACAATATCTATTCTGACCTTAGACACTACCATCAGTGGTGATAGTCTGTATCAGAAAGAGACACATACACATAGTACTTGAAAAGTCCTCCTGCAGTTTTCCAGGGTTTTCTCCATGTCTTCTGGGCAGATAGGATGGGTGAACACCACACAACACTGAAAACAGGAAAATGTAAGTAACTGATATGGAAGATACTTAAGGGGCAATGCAAATTAGCAAAAACAAAGTAGAGCTAAATTCCTAATGGATGACATATAAATTGCATAGTGTTTTCCTTTTCAACTCATACCTATGATTTTTTGTATTCTATTGCTTCTATTATACCATTCTGTCAAAAAATCAGAGTTAATTTTGCTTTGATTTCATTGCTTTCATTGCATGAAAGTGCTACATTTAAAATTTCATTAAATTTATATTTACTACAGCTTCATTAGGACTCTTTCTATAGAATGAAAACTGTATTTGCTTCCACTTGCCTTACTCATGTTCTGAGATAACTAGATGACAAAAAGAGCATTTCGAGTTTGTAGAGCATTTCTTATTTTAATTTCAACAATATTACTTCATTTGGCTAGTACTCAATATTTAATGGCTTGTGGGAAAAATACTTCAGAAGACATCTTTCTTAATTAATGAAATCCTTTACACTATATTACTCTATATTTGAGTCAAGTTATTTGTTTTTACATATGCATTATTCAGGGTAGCTTTATTCACAACATTTCAGAAATGTTCTTTGCACTCTCATCTATAAGAAAAATTTATAGAATATCATGGTGGTTGTCAGAATTAATACTTCACTTTTAACTGGAAAGTTTAGCTGAAAATTGTGACTATCATGTCACAGAAATATCAATGGCTCTATCCAGTCTTCTTGTGGTGTAAAGAATAGTAAAATGCAAACTGAAGACATTTGACAGATTGGCAACACATCTGTCATCTTTTAAGAATACAGCAGCAATGATAATATGAACAACTCATCCTCAGTTCATTGTACTTAATATACTCAATCACTGATTGCCAGATCAAAAACTTTAGGTTGTAATGATCAAATCAATAGTCTGGTAAAGTCTGAAAGATTCTCTATTACACTATCTTCCACTTAGCCACATGCAAATGTATATAAATAAAACAATAAAATCCCCATAACTGACTCATGTGGTTCTGAATCATTTAAATAATGAGGATCTGACTCATTTTTAAAAAATCTTCTTGGCCAAATGAGAGCAAAATTCCTTCACAAAGATAACTGACTACTGTTTAGCAGGTATATGAAAGTGGTTATTAAGGGGTTCTTAAAGAAAAACTTCCACAAACATATAAAATAGTTGGGTTTTTTTCTTATTGTCATTGTGGTACATGAATTTTGTCTTGAGCATATTTGAATGAATCACCCTCATCTATGCCCATGTAAGAACAGAATGTGGTTTTCTGCAAGTTAATGCAGTGAGAAGTAAAAGGGAAAGTCATTATAAGAAAAGGAAATGAATAGGTGTTATTTTGCATAATGTCTGCACTGAGTTAAAAGCTAAACCAGGAAGGAAGTTGCCATCACTATGCTAGATGGGAGTGCTTTGGTGACATGTGCTTGCTTTTGAGAAAACCAGTAGTCTTCAGATTAGGACTAGGAATAATTATCGTGTTTATTTTGTGTTTACCTGAATTTTTCAAAATCCATGAAGGTGAGTGATCAGCTTTTAAAATAACCTTTTATTTATTCTGAAGTCTGCAATTGAAAAATTGGCACATGCTTTCCTAAAAGCAATGGTTAGGATGCTGCCCACATGTGGAATTTGCAAAGGATATAGACTCTTTTTGTTGATTTTTTACCAACAGAGTTAATTATGTGTGGTAATTTGGAATGAGTTTGTAATTCATTTACATACACTGCAAAATTTTTGGTAACTCTTTCCATGCATGTATTTTCATGGCCTTCATAATGAAGAAAGTAGTGAAAATGCTAATGTTCTTTTATAGCAGGTGCTCATGTCTTCAGAAACAACTTTTTAGAAGATTTTATACTTAAATGCTGTAAAACTTTGTACAATTACTATCTGGCAATGAGATGCTGTCTGTGAAGGAGATATGCAGTGGTAACCTGACAAAATGTAGAGCAGAATGGATGTAACTGAGTAAAGCAAATCTTGTAGCATAAATGCCAAATTCTTCTTTGTGATCCTAGAGGCTGATACTGAATTTATGATAAATGTTAACTACACATGTGTGCAAGTTACTTTTTTAAAACTGCATGAGTAAATTTAAATAGTTTTGTCATATCCATTCCTAAGAAAGCTTTTGAATAAATAAGTATGATAATAAAAAGCATCCCTTTGACAAAGAGTGTGTTCTCAGGCATCATAACATAATTTCTTTATGAAGAATATAATTTTCTGAAATAATTTAGCATATTAAAATATCCAGATTAATTTGCTTATATATTTTTTTCATTAACCATAAAGAATGGATATATCAGTAATTAGAATATAATGTATAGATTTTTATAGTTTATAAATGAACAAACTTGGTAAGCTGTCATAAGTTTTGAATATCATAACTTTTATAATTTGGTTTAAGATGGTGGAATAATTAATATTTTACCTCCCTGCAGAGGTAAACAAAGTATTTGTAGCACAGATTATCCAAATAAACAATTACAGGACTATTACCAGAAGGAAACATTAACCTTAGTGTCAAACATCAAAGAATAATTACATTTTTCCATGATAATTTTTCTAGATTGCTCCTATTTGCCATGCTTTAGGCTGCAATAGTGTGATCACTGCAATTCTGTCTTAATCACAGCATGTCTAAAATAAGATTGTGAAGTATATGTGCGGAACAGAATTTTAGTTGGAGCAGCACAGATTTATATTTGGAAAATTAGAATTATTGCTGCATTTTGGATGTTTTAAAAACTAAATTACTGTATAACAGACTGTGTAATGATGTCTGAATTACATTGGAAAGTAAATATGTTGAACAATTTATTCAAAATCTCTAAGGATTTTGGGTCTCTGGTTCATCAAAAACCTTCTGTTGAAAACTGATTTTATTTCAGATTTTGTGACAAACTTAAAATGTATAGATTTTTTTGTAAATGTTTCAAATTGCTGGTTACACCATGAGACTTCAGCAGACAGAGTTGTTGGAAATCTTTGAGATGTGAAATATAATCACCAGCTCTTCCTCTGCGAGTTCCTAAATGAATGGCAGAAAGCTCCTAATTCCTGGATGTCTTATCCCAGGGGAAGTTCCAGCATTTACTTTCATTATGGAGAGGGAATAAAAATGGAAATTTATCATTAAGCAACAATTTAGGGGGAAATTATTTGCAAAAAAAAACCTTTAAATTTTTTTCAAAAGAATACAGTTCAGCATTACCAGAAGTGAAATGTTTCCTTTCTGTTTGTAAAGCAATCCATTTGTTGGTTACAAGTCATTGAACCTTTAAATTACAATGATTTAGAGTAGGAGGTTATCCTTTTGGGGTCTGATGCTTTCAATCCCAGTCCTGTCCCTTGGGTCCTGCTACTTGGTGGAGTGTATCTCCTTTAATCTATCAGTTGTGTATTCCCCAACTTGTACCATAGGTCTTATATCTCCGCAGTATTATGTGGCAACTCCAGCTTCCATAAGGAAATGATAAAAAATGCAACTTACACACTGCTGCTCTTACTCAAAACAGAATACTGCAGATCAAATGAAAAAGAGTCAAACCCATGCAAAGTGAAATATTTGTGATTTTCTTAATGGGAAGCAAGTTTTTTTATAAATTTTGATCTTCCCTGTGAATACTTTCATATTAATGGATTTGGATTTTATATGAAAAACCATCCTGTAAATAGAGGTTTTATAGAATAATTTAATAATCACATAACTTCTTAAGCTTAAGCATGTGATTGCAGGTCTTTGAATATAAAACATTTCCCTAGAGTTACTTTGCATGGTTTCATCTCAGCAATCCTTTTTTACTATTCAGGCTGCCTGTGTTCAGATTTCAAATCCTTTCCAAGTTTCTAGAGTGATGTTTACATTTGGGAGGGTGCTTCCCAGTGCTGCAGCAAGGAGCAAGGAGTATGGCTCTGTCTGCCATGTAACCCACTGGGAA